AGAGTGTTGTAAATATTATGTACAGTTTTTGTCTCCCCCTGAGATTTCGTGGCCATCTTTCATTGCTTCAGTTTGCTTTCTTTTCACAGCCATTGGAAACAGTCTAATCCCCTCTTGATATACTCAGTCTTAATTCTTTGAGCATTTTGAGCATTTTTTTCATCTGAATATTATTGTAGGCCAAGTTTAAAGGATGCTGCTTTCCCGAAGTTTAATGGCTTGAATCTCTTCCTGATTTAGCTCTTTCTAACCCACCACCTATCACTCTATTAACCATACGAGGTTTGGACCACATACAGAATGATACATGTTAATGCTCATTAATTACTTTATAAGCCTATAAATTATATATAATGGGTTTGCTTATTAAGATTTTGTTGCCAGTGCATTCAGATGTATGCACATGTGTGTGTATATGTAAATACATACACAAAAAATGTGCTGTCCCAGCTTGTCCAAATGAGAATAGAAGTGTAGTCAGTGCTTGAGGTGATACACAAAAGAGTTTTGTCTGCAGTGTGTTTCAAAATCTGTCATTGAAAACAGTAGTGGTTACTCTGGGTGTGCATAGGCAGCTGTGCCCATCCATGGAAGAAGCTCTCCTGTCCAGCCTCCCCTCTCTCCCAGCTGTGCATCCCCATGCACCTCCAAGGCAGATCAGCCCCCTCTCCTTAGGTTTGCCATGGGAGGTGCTCTTCTGAGGGTTTTCTGACCCGTTTCAGTCAAGATGAACCATATTAAACCATTTCCACTGTCAGTCTTGCTGATCCAGCTCATTTGGACTGAAATACAAGAGCCCCTATCAGCAAATCCAAGGGGCGGTCACTCCTGGCAGAGGGGGAGGAACATGCCATTGGCACTCCTTATTTCAGACTGGTAGCACCCGCTGCTTCCCCCAGCCTAGCTGGATCCAGGCGAAGATGCATGGCCATGGCCTAGTTACTGCTACGGCTGCTTTTATACCAGCTTCTCCTTTCCACACTCCTCGCTACAGTATAGCTCAGCAATAAGCATTTATTCTTTCTAGAAGACTTAACTGCAAAAGGCTTAGCCTCGCTCTCTCAATATTTTACTGAATGTTACATTTAACTCCTGAAAGTCTAAAAATCACTTTGAATTAGATCATACCATCTTGAAGGTTATTAGTCCACAAAGTGACTTAGTGCCTTAGGCTATTACAAATAGTGTAGTTACATCTCTGAACCATCAAGGTGTGCAAAGCAATGACTGTCCAAGGCATACTAACATGTATCTGTCACAGGCATAGTCAGCTCATATGGAGAGCCGCTTCAAAAGCTGTTGTTCATCTCAGTAGAGAGGAGTCTGCCCAGCAAGGAGGAGGCATCTACCCACACTTTGCAGAGCTGGAGCCCACCTCTGCAGCTCCCGGACTTTGAAGAAGCCAAATGGTTCTGATGCAATGGTTCCAACTGGAACCAGATGCCCCGGTTCCTACACAGCACCACAGCTTGTGTATATGGCAAAGGTGTGGAAAAGCTGACCCCTGGCCCCTGGCCCCCATTAATTTTTAGTTGTTTAAAGTCTGTTAATTTTTTTCAAGTGAGTTTTAACAGCAGATAGCATTTATAAAGCCTGACTTTCTCAGCAAACTACAAGTGACCCGTCACAGACACTTCATAATCAATCTCTACATCTGAAAAAAACTGCCACCTGACCACAGATTTCAGATCATCTTGAGCAGCTCCTTGAGACTGCCCCTGGATACTGGGGATAACCCAAGCAGAGAGAGCTGGGAGAAGGACACCTTGTGTGACATGGCATCGTGACACAACGTTGCGTGTCATGTTCTTACAAAGTAGAGATTGTGTGTCCCTGTGCTTCACCTAACCCTGGATGTAATACCGGGACTATTCTCAGCCAGTCTTATGGTTGAATAGGTTTTGGACTGAGTTTGAAAGGGACAATAAATCTGTTGACTTACAGGGTAGATCAGACTCTATTAGAAATCAGTATGCAAATATTTAAGGGATAGGCTGGTTTTGCCTGCATAGTGCAGTGCTCCCTCTAACAACTTGCACCCAGGTCTGGTACATCTGAAGACATTTGGACCTTAGTCAAGTATGGTAATTGCTGTGTGTCTATGACATGAATTATGCCAGAGCTTGGATCATCCCCTAAGCCATGAATGCCACAAGGGTTTCTTATGCCATCGGTCCACAGAGCGTATGCCAGCATATGTGAGTGCTGATGCTAAAAAAGGCGAAGAGTCACTTTCTCTAGACCGCAGCTGCTCATCCGTCCTTTCGCACCTCCTTTATCCAGGTCACCCTGGGGCAAAGTAAATGTTTGTGCATCACAACAAGTGGCTGGGGACAGCGGAAAGGCAACAGCATCTTTTTTGCCAGCAGTGCTGTCAACATATTGGTGTGGCTACAACTTTGGTGCCGCCTGTTTCCCTCTGTTTCTGAATTATGCTGAGCTGAGCTCAGGTGTGGCTCAGAGCCAGGGTGATAAATGATGGGATGTTTGTACAGCAGCAGGTTACCAGTGCCAAGCTGTGCACACAGAGGGGGGAGGACAAGTCCAGGCTTCTGAAAATTCACCACAAGTTCATATAAATTCCCAGTAAACAGGAGGTGTAGGACTACAGATGACATGCCATGGGGAAATAAAGTTGACTCTGTGTATTTTTGCCATCATTGACTTTATAAAGAGGATGGAAAAAATCCTGGGGTTTGTTTTTAAGTCACCCATTTTTACAGAGGAAATTCCTGATTTTGTAGAGTGCTACAGCTAGATAGATCCCTA